CGAGCAGTAAGGCCAGAGCTGGAGTGGTCAGAGGTTCCTTGGAGGGGATAAGGACAAGGGCAGTGATAAAGGTGGTGCCTGGGGCTGGGGTTCGGGTGAGAGGCGCCAGTTCAGGGCTGCTTCTGACAGTGGGAATGGCCATCGCGGGGTGTTTCAGCTGGTGACAGCAAGGGCCACCACACTCTTCCTGGGGTGGAAGTTGATTGCAGCTTTTGCCCAAGGTTAAAGCAGGAGCAGGACGGTGGGTAGAGTTTGGCCAAACAGGAACTGGTTTAGAGCTACTGCCAACACAGGCCTATTTTTTTGTTTGTTTGGGGTGGTGTTTGCAGTGATCACTGGATAGGGGCTTGGATTATAGGAAAGTACTTTCAGGCAGTCAGCGTGGGATGAGGTTAGGCCTGGGAATAGAAGAGGCTGCCAGGCCACAACTGGGTTATGCTACCAAGCTGTGCCTGGCAGCTCCAGTGGTATTTGCTGCCGTAGGGTGAAGGCTAAAGCTGGGAATCCCTCTAACAAGTGGTCAGGGCTGGCAGTAACCAGGAAACAAGGATTAATGCTGAGACCAAAAAAAGTGACTGAATTATTAGTTTTAGGTGTGAGGCGTTGTTTCCCCTCCTTTCGGTGTTGAGGTTAGGATGGGTAATGCTTCCCTAGGCAGGCACTGCTGCAGTCGCACAGCATAGGACGAGAAGATCTTTGGTGCTAGATGTCATGCTGACGCTTTCAGTCTACACCATAACGGGGAAAAGAAGAGGCAGCTGAAATAGCCTTTCAGCTGGGACCTCTAGGAGCTTCCTAGCTTGATTTTCTTTTATGGTAGACAGAGATCCCTGGGCTAAAGCAGGACAGAGCTGTGGAGGATTATACTGAGCGTTAACAGGCAGAGACAGAGCTAAAATTAGCTCTGCCAAAAGCACCAGGCTGTGACACCCTCCCTAAAGAATTTCTCCTTCACCCCCAATAGCAAAGATCCTGTAGTTTTATATCCTATGGTAGCAAAGTTTATGTCTCACTTTTTTTTTGTTTGTGTGGAGCTTTTTATGTGTAACTTAAGTCTTAAGTTTTATTACTAGACATCTTCTTCTTACTGTTATTCCTTATATTCGTTTGGCCCTAGTAGTTCATAGTGACAGTGATAGTTCAATGTGCCGTACATATAACGGTTCATTTTGGGTGCTAAGCAAAGCAAGTGACAAATGCAGCATATAAAGTGCATATCACAAGTTTATTCTTCTGCACAAACAAATAGAAAGTGACTTTAAATTGAAAAAAAAAAAAACAAACAGAGAAGGAAAACAAAATGTTTTTCGTACACAAAGAGGCAAACTCTGTACACAGCATTGCTGCTGGGCTCCTGCTTTCAGAGCACTGACAAGTCTCTTCCAGGAAGAGGGCTTGGATGTTGTAGCAGAAAGAGCAAATTCAGTGTGAGGAACAATCCGGGGCTGAACTGGGCTAGTGGCTGGTGATCAGCAGCTTCACAGCAATCTCTGCTGAGATTCTCCCTTGCAGCTGCTGCCAGCACTCCAGGTTATCTCTAGCAAGGGTTCCCACAGACACAAAGGGAAAGGATTGACACTTCTGAAGCCGAGATAAACCCCCAGAACTGCCAGAGTTGCAACATATAATCTGCAGCCTGCCAGAGAAGGGCAGTAAGCAGTTTTAAATCAGAGCCCATGCAGACATCTTTAAATGCTTAACAGGGGAACACAGGGTTTGGCCTCTGAAGCCTGTAACACAGCAAGGCAGGAGTTCTTGATCAAGTGCTGAAGTTCAACAGTGCAAGAATTACATGTTTGGGGACGCTCAAGACAGGCTTATGGGCTTTAAAAGTCTCTTTCGTAACCTCACCTATGACCTTCCTAACCGGGCAGCTTCTTTATTTTCATGAGTTGATGTTAGCAGAGCTGCTCGAGGCCACCGATAGCTCAGGTTTCCTTCCTATAGCTTAGCAGAGGCACCTCAGTGCAAGTTCTCCACTCATGCTGCTTGCAGCACCAGGCCTCAGTGGGGATAATCAGAAGTCCTGTAGGTCTTATCTGCAGCACCCTCTGCTTCTGCAGATCCTGTCCTATCCGCAGCACAGAATCCAGAAAATACCAAGAGAGTCTTAGAGACATCAAACTATTTTGCCTTTGCTTCTAAACATGGGCTGGAATCAAGGATGTTAGGAGTGAAATGCAGAATCCCCAGCCTCCTGATTCTTTTCCTTGCTCTGATGTTTAATACTGTTTCTCCAGTCTAACTTAACTCTTTCACCCTCTGCCCATTACATTATCAGAAACGATAGGCCAAATGCAGGTATCCCACTCAGCTGAGTCCTACAGTCTAACACCCAACAGTGCTTGGCCATAACTGCTTGGCCTGCATCCCAGAAATCTGGACTGATCCCATCCAGGTACTAACTAGATGCAGGCCCAGGCTGAGGCCAAACCTCCCTTTCCCTCCAGTGGCAAAACGAAGCTCCTGAGACTCTCAGGCCCTGCGAGCGCTTCACTTTCTTCATGGCCCGCATGGACAGAGATACTGCAGTAAGATTCGGGCTTTCTGAGGTCATTTTTTCACTGCAGAATTACTGTGAGCACACTTCTCTGGTCCACACAACCCTTCTCAACATGAGTTCAGTGATGCTTTCAGTCTGGACTAGCTGACCCACCTAAAGCTACTGGCTAAAGTCCTTGACAGATAGCCAGCCAGCACCCCACAGTGAGACCCGAGGGTACTGCTAGTCCTTCGGTTCCTTCCCACAGTTCTCCTAGAAAAATAAATGACTCCTTCTACAGTTCTTTGGGAAAAAAAAATCACAGAGACTCAGCTTGCAGCAACAAATTGGATTTTCTTCCAGAAGCGCAGGCCATGCAAGGCATCACAGGATGAGTGAGAATGCAATTGTGCAAGCCAGGGTTTGTCGCATGGTTGCTCCTCCCTGCCGGAGCTGAGCAGATCCTGGAGATCCGAGTTGACTCTGTGGTGATGACTGGCCCTAGGATCTTCCCCAGGAGCTCTACCAGTGCCTCACCAGTTAAGGTGCTGCCTGCTCGTGCCCCCCACGGCCCCCGCACGCGTGCGGCGCGCGCCGCTCTGCAGAGCCACGCTGCTCGCAGGCAGGCCTGTGCACTGCTTTGCCTTTTATTCTCTCTCTCTCCCAAGTTTGCTCAGGAGCACAGTTGCTACCTAGGTTCTCTGGCCCTCCCTTCCTTGCGAAATCTCTAGCAGCTCACAAAGGAGAGGCCAACGAAAGCCGCGAGCCTCTGCGAGAAGAGCTGCACGCCGTAGGCTCCAGCTGCACTGGAGAAAGTTGGCTGGGGCTTGGTGTGAAACTACGTGGGCTCCACTGCTTGCAGAGCGGGTGCTTGTCCTTCCCTAGAAGCCACAGTTCAGTAGATCCAAAGCTCCTACACAGTCCATTTGGAGAACGGATTCTGCTTGAAGGAAAGGAGCAGGTGTAATGAGATGGAGATGTGTAATGAACAGGGCTATGAGGGCCTCATCCTGCCCTTGGAGGTGTTCTTGAGGTTGCAGCCCTGTGCAGAAGGAGGTAGCAAAGCCCTTCCCCACACCCAGGCTGTGTGCTGTGTTTGGGGAGCGTCGTCCTTGCTGTGCCTGTGGATCATGCTGTGGAAGTGGTTGCCGCAAAAGTGGGAGCAAGGGCAGGAAAGCAAATGGCAGGGGTGTGTGCAAACCCCAGCACACACATACACACAGACCCTGCTGATGTCCTGAATTCGTCTTTAGGAAAGGAAGTGTTACATGTCATAAGCTTTCAGCGTAGGGAAGATGACTGAGGCTGGCCAGAGACATTCTAGGAATAACCAGCCCTCTTTCCCCAGCATTGCCCACGCACCAAGCTCTGCTGGGCTGTGTGTGAATGCAGATCCTCCCGGAATCTCAGAGCACTTCAGTTCTTATCAAATAGCCCTGAGGATACTTAAATTATTTAGTATAAAATTCTACCAGGGGCTTCCTGTTTTCCGGTCCCCCGCTCCCTGCTGAGTCCATCTGGGAAATGTCTCCATTTTCCAGCTCAGTGGAGAGTTTTCAGTAAGTTTTATGTTATGACCCACTTCCCACTTAGCCAGACTCCTGTCTTACACTGAACAAAAAGCTGATGTGCAACTGCATATTCGGTCCTGCTCCTTCAGCACCAACTTCACTTTCTCCTACACCGTCCTCCTTATACTTCCAGCTTCTGCATCCTGTTCCGGGGAGCTGATGCTGCGGGGCCTGCCAGGAGCTCCCCAGCCACTGCGTGAGCTTCACGTGGCCACTGTGTGTCTAAAAACGCTTGCTTTCTCCCCTTGTTCCTCCAGCTTGTGGTAGTCCCACCAAGTCTATTCAGTGCCCCCCTTCCCACAAACAGCCACCAGGCTGGAGAGCTGTGCATGGCACCAGCTTGGACGACTCTCCCTTTCACCCCCATCCCTGGGGGTGCCCAGAGGGATGGCCACACACGCCCTCCTCCTCCTCGCCAGGGCACACTGTCCCGTGTGAATGTGCAAGCCCCCCTCCACGCTGCTCGCCTGCCTCTCCCAAGGATGGTCTGGGGAGAAAGGTCCAAGGCAGAGCCTCCTGCCTGCTGGCCCTTTGCTGACCGTGATCTGTATTTGCACGCATTTGTGTTTGCATGAATATAGACTGGCAGGCTCAGCAAAAACGCTGCAATGAGGAAGCCAGAACTTTTGAGGTCCTGTCTTTGCTCCTTCCCTCCTGTGAGGCTCCTGTCCTGCAAGGCTCCATGGCAGAGGAGCCCTGAAAGGATCAGCGCAATACTCTCTGCCGAAACCCAGCGGGGAAGAGCCCTGCCACCTACACGTGCTTTGCGACACCCCTGCTGTTCCCCGCTCCGCAGGCGGGACTGCAGCTGCGCGAGTGCCCAGGCTGCCCCCACGTCCTCCCTCCTGCTCCAGCCACAGCCACTAAGCCCTGCCATGAAGCTGCCCATCCAAGACCAAGGAGAGGCTGCGGGAGAGGGTGGTGCAGAAGGGGAGTATTATTTTTTCTCTTTTCTTCATTTTGTGTCACTCACCCCAATGTTCTGAGCATGAAAGACAAAACGAGCACTATCTCTACGGGGCCATGGACAAGGTGGGAGCAGCAGGTGCCTCAGTGGTGCCCGAAGCTCGGCCTCCACACGTTGGCCTGCATCCCTGTTCTGGCTGCCGAGAACTTGGGCCTGGCCACCTGGAACCGAGCGGCTGGGCTTGGGGAAGGGCCTCGGCCCAGAGGCCCGAGCTCCGGGGAGCTCTCATAGGGCTTGGGTGACTGGCCGAGCTCCGCAGGGAAGGGAGCCGGTGTGGCGGGTGCCGAGGAGGCCATTTCCGTCCTCCACAGCGGCTCGTCCAGCGTGGTGGCCGAGCGGGGCATCAGCACGGTGGGTGCCAGGCTGCTCGAGGATGGCATGGGCGCTGGCGTGGAGAACCGCCGGATCTCCTGCGTCTTGGCTGTTTTCACGGGTTGCTGCGTGGCCGCGCTGTAGGGCGCGCGGGCCTGCGGGCCCGCCTGCACGGCAGCCTCTGCAGCCCCGGGGCTTGGGGGTTCTCCGAAGCAGAACATGGCTGAATTCAGCTGGTAGGGCTGGTGGCGCATGAAATCAATGACCTTGAGCCCCGATTTCTGGCTCGGTGCCTTTTTCACTTTGCTCTCTGCCTTGCTAGCCTGTGACTTGCTGGCTGCCAGCGGGTAGAAAGGGGAGTGCATCGGGTTGTAAGCTATTGGAGGGGGAGCTCGGATGTTGGGGGAATATTTCCAGGATGAGGGCAGAGAAGGGGAAGGAGAGGGGGTCCTGGGCTTGGAGTCAGGCTTTGGGGTTGTCTCCACCACGTATTTGTCCATGCGACTCTGGCGTTTGGCGAAGAGCTCTGCACCCTTGCCTTTGAGCTGCGGCATGTCGTGGGCCCCGTTTACCAGTCCGGCCTCCTGCTGCTGTGGCTTCGGAGCCACCGGGGGCGGCGTCTTGAACTTGCGGCCAGAGGACTGCATAAAATTGCAGGCCTCGGCGCCCAGGCTCAGAAAATCCTCCTCGGGCCCCGACTCAAAGCCTGCCCCGGGGTGGTCTCCTTTGGGCTTCTCATCTAGGTTCTGCACCAGCGACAGGAGTTCGGGGTTGGGTGAATTCTTCTTCTTCTCCTCGATGCGGCTGAACATGGGCTTCTTGTTGCCACGCCGGCGAGCCTCCTGCAGGATGCCTGTGCGGGGAGCCGGCACGGCAATCCTCTGCTCCCTCGATGTGAGCGGCTCCGAAGGGGGCCGTGGTGCTGCCGGCGACGTGCCAGGACATGGCTGCCCAGCAAGGGGGGAGCTGCTCGCCACGGGCTGGGATGGAGCTGGGCTAATGTACAGAGAAGAGGAAGCCATTCCGGGCACTCGTGCTTGGGGCGCTGCAGAGGCTGCCTCTCCTCCTGGCTTCGAGGGAGCAGACAGAAATATGGAGGCCGTGGATGTCCGGGCAGTGCTGGCAGGAGGCCTGGTCTCTGGGGCGCTGCCTCCCGCTCCCGGCTGCCCATCCAGCTGCGGGGCTGTGCGCCCCGGCGCAGGAATATACAGGGACGTGGAGGAGCTCACTGCACCCCGCGGCGCCAGAGCCACCGTGCTGCCAGGGGCTCCTGGCGGTGCGAAGGGAACCGCTGCACTCGGCCCGCCCTGGCTTTCGCTGGGTTTTTTGGGTGCAGATGGCTTGAAGGTAACCGAGGACGTTACGGGGCGCTGGCCAGAGCCACTGGGCGTGAAGGGCCGCGCAGACCTGTTGAACATGCTCGCCGAGAAGGGCTCGGGGGTGCCCGGCGGTGGCACAGGGGCGGTGGGGCTGAGGGCAGGGAGGCTGCCGGGAGCGGGGAGCGGGGCTGGCTGCTTGCCCGGCATGTGCCCCACTCCCGGGCGCGCGCCAAGGGCCGCGCTGTCCCTGTGTGCCTGGGGCACGTCCCCGTTCACCATGCCCTGGCCCGAGGGGCTGCTCTGCGCAGGCACCTGCTCCACCGTGTACTTCCCAGCCCGCTCCCTCTGCTGCTCAAATAATCTGGCTCCTTTACCTGAGGCCTCGCTCAAGCCCTTCTGCTTCTCTTCCTTCTGCTCAAAGTCTGATCTGGACTTTTCAATGTCCAGGTAGGGGTTGTCCCAGTCTGAGTGATTAGTTAAGCTTCGGGCATCAGAGAAACCTTCCTCATCAAACTCAGACTCACTAGTTGGAAAAACTCCGTCTTCCTCGTCGTCGCAGCGGTCTTCGTCGACGCTGCCGAAGCTGACCAGCGTGTACTTCTTAGCTCTCTGCCTGCGCTTCTTGAACATGAGCACCCCCTTGGAGTGCGGGTTTGGAGCATCCGTCAGCAGCGATGCAATGGTTCTGCACTTGGTTTTGGCTTCCTTCACATTCTTCTCCTGGGTGCTCTCGTGGCGGTGGAGCTCTGCAAGAAACCAGAAGAGACGAGCTCAGGGCTCAGCAATAGGCTGGGCTGGCAAAGATGGGCAGTGATCTGCTCTAAGTTTCCTAATGCTCGTGTGAGGAGACAGCCACTACCCCCTGTCCTCCCTGTCCTTCGTGCCCTTGCTGGTAGTGGCTTTAGGAACTGCTGAGTTAAACCCAGGTATGGTTTTCTCTTTGACTGCAAGCACGACAGAAATCCATGCAGTGCAGGGAGGGAGCTACCTAACTCCAAAGGGGTCTTTGATTTCCCATCGGACCTGGGATCTCTTTCTCTGTAAAAGGTAGCCAAGTGCCTCAGGCCGTATGTCATGGTGCTTTTGCAGTGCAAACCCTGACTCCTGGGAATTTGACCCCTTATGACTGAAAACTGGAATCTTGCCTTCTGCAGATGTTCCTCATACCGCATGGAGGATTCCCAGGAGGAGAAGTGCAGGAGCCTGGGAGGAAGCCGCGTGCGCTGGGCCGCAGGAGCGGTGCCCCTTGGGTGACATCCTGCAGTGGCAGCTGCCAGCGCGGGGATGCGGCGCGCGCG